GCTTTGTAGCTGGCCCAGAGAGGAGTGCCAGGCCGTGGCTCTTAGCTCAGACAAAGATTGCTTGTGCTGAGCAAGGTGGTTAAAGGTGAACTGAGGTTTCTCTTGAGCCAGTGGGTAGCTCCTGTCTGGAGTTTGGTTGTTGTTGGCTCTGTGTAGGCTTTTGGGTGCTAGAGGAAGTAGGTGCCCAGTGAGAGGTGATGGAGTTTGTGCTCTTGGCAGATCCTACATTGTGCCAAGGGTGCTGGCAATTTCTTCCCTGTGTGCATCTGCCAGCAGCGTTTCTGTATTGCTCAGTGGATTTAAAGCTTTCATGGGCATCTGAGAAAGGCTTGTCTGTAATCCAACACTGAAGGGCAGAGATCAAAGAGACACCCCAATCATTACTAAAGCAGGAGAGGCATTTATTGCTTGGGTACCAAAATGAGGCTTTCACAACCTGCCATTGGCTGTTTTCTGATGTTGGCCAAATCACATATTTGTCCTCACATCATGCCTCAGGTTCCTCACCTCTAATATAAGGACAAGTATTCCTCAGCCCTTCCCTACCTCACTGTGCAGCTGTGGAAGAAAACCTGGTGGGTACTAGTTCAGTTCTTGTGTTATAGCTCCCAGTACTGTATGGCTTTATCAGTAATTCAGCCCAAAAGAAGAAATCAGCTTACAGAAAAGCTTAAAGAACGTAGAGATTGTAACCTCCCCAAAAGGATGAAACAAATATCTGATCTCTGAAAGAGCACACTAAGGGAATCCTCTTTTTCTAAAGCCTTTCAAAATCTTAATTTATTTCTCTACAGCTTAGGATAGTGAAGCTAGCACTCCTCAGGTGAACTTGGCAGCCATTAAGGGAATGTAGGACAGCAGACTTTGGAGACAGAAACCTTCAGCAGTGTGTGTTGTAGGGAATGGTGTGATTCAGGCCTTGGATGAAATGCTTCAGGCAGGCTACTTCCAAATCCTCTGACATTTGTACAGAAAACTTGTCTTTTTTTCCTTTGGCTGTCTCACCCCTGTGACCCAGAATGCCTAGTCCTTCCCTGTCTCATTCTCTGTTTGGTTCTTGCAGCCTCCACCTGCATGGAGACAGAGAAAATTAGCATTTTTACTTTGGTCTGATGAAGAAAATTCTTACAGGGATTTTAGACTGGACAAAGATTCCTAGTGTCCTGCTGTTAATTTAAGAAACTTGTTCAGAAAGATTTTTTTTTTTTTTTTTCAATGTTTGGAGGAGCTGAATGAATCCAAAGAGAAACAGTGGGCTGTTGGAGAGAGAACAGGGACATCATGTTTGCCAAGTGATGGATTTAGCTCTTGGTGGAACACCCCAACACCCATCTATCCTGGGGCTCCACCCTCTCAATGTCCCTTTACTGCCTTAATGTTTGGATTCTTCAAACTGGCAGGTGCCTGGATCTGCTGAGCAGGTTATGGCCCCAGTGCTATTTTTATCTAGTGACTTAAGCACTTTGAAGAGCTGTAGCAAGCAGGAAATAAAGTCCCTCTAAAAATACAGAGGGTAACTTTTAAGAGGTAGATTTTTAATTGCAGCTTGAGCAAACCATTTTTAGTTTCTATGAGTCTGCTCCTTCTCATCTCCTCTGCAATCTGGAGCTTCCCCAAAGAAGAACTTGTCATGGTTGTAGCCTTATGGCCCCACGAGCCTTTGGCTCTGCTCTCTGTGAGCTTCTGGCATCCCTGCCAAGATCAGGCAACAGCAGCCCCAGATTGTCTCTCCAAATCTGTGCATCTGCAGTTGGGCTGAGGGGAATCCAGAAAGGGGAAAACTGAGGAAATTGCTTTCCTCTCTCTTTGGGGTATAAAATGTTCTCTTCTTTCAAGTTAATTTGTTCTGTGAAAGTTCCCCTTGAAATAATTTTCCAACTACTTTGAAAGATCAAATAGATTATATTGAAAGCTACTGTAAGATGAAGTGCCCATTTGGATTTAATAAATGCTGGTTTATAGAGTTCAGCTCGTTATTTCTTTGGGATAAACCTACAGAGAATGGAAGGGAGGAAAGATTTTAATGTTTCTGAAAAACTTATCCCACGAACAGTAAAAACACACCCTAGAAATATACCAGCCACAAAAATGACATCTTAAATGCAGTATTTATGACTTTCTGTATTTGTTTTGCATAAACTTTTCTGGTTTCTATTACACAGATTGATTCATGGAGTTTATTTGGAATAAATGGTAGTGCATATTTGAAACAAACGGAGTCCTGGTCTATGAAGAACCCAGGAGATACAAAACCTCTGTATGGTTCAACCTGGGAACCTCTAAGTCCTTTTTATCAGAACATCTTTTTCCATTAAAAATAAAATGCAGAAAAATAATAAGAAATTAGATGAAGAAAAGCAATGTGGGAAAACATATGTAGCCAATGTTTCAACTAAAATTGGTCTGAACTTTGTATTCAGTGTCTCATTCTGTTCCTTAATGAAATGTTCTTTATCCAAATGGAAATTTTACCACGAATATCATTTTTCACAGATTTGTTTGGGAGGTGTGGGGAGCTGACAGGGGCTGGAGGGGATTGAAAACTTCTCAGAAAACATTTTGATTTTACTGAAATTTATGTAACTTTAGAAGGCACATCAAATGAGAAACTTCTTAGTAACTTTTCCATTAACTTCAACCTTTAGGAGTGAAGGGGAGCAAACAAGGAGAAATTTTCCCCTAAACCATCAATTCTTGATCTGTAAATGAGCTAATTGCGTATTTTACCAGGTTGGGGGAAAAACAGTAAAACAAGGATTGTCTGTATTGATTTATTTTTAAAGCACATGAGTTACATTTATCTCTGTTTTCTTCTTGATCCCCTGACAGGCTTGGCATCTTCCCTGCTCCTTCCTGTAACTGGATTACTTGTGTACTTCTAGTGCATTCCTAGATTGGCTAAAATATTACCTTTTCTGTATATTTTAGAGGGGGGTTGCAAGTCATCACAGCACAAAGATTCTCTCAGGAACCTGAGTGATGCCCTTCACATGGCCACAGCAAAGCACCTGGGTTTTAAATACCCAATAAGTGATCTGCACACCGATAATTATTGGGTGAATAAAATTGATGATGATCCTGAATTTGTTACTGAAAAATTGCTGGCAGATAAAAACTGTCAGCTTTTTAATAGCTGAAAAATGATACTTTAAGCCGCATTTGCCTGCTGCCACAGGGTCTGAGTGGCTGCAGACAGGAAGAGTGTATGGTCGTATGCAGCTCAAAACTAATCAGTGGGCTGTTCTCCCAACTGTGTCATCTTTCTAAAAAACCATCTGGTATTTAATGTCATGAGTCTATTTCTCACAAGCTGCCTAGAGTTCTCTCTATAAGAAGACCTAAAGCTGTAGTCAGCTTGTCATCATCTGTGCTAAATGCAATGAGGAGACTCCCAGCAATCTCTCACCTGCTGGCCTGACCAGTATGACCCATATGGTCCCTCCCTAACCCAGTCTGATCTAGGGGGCAAAGTGACTGCAGGTGTAAAATGGCTGTGCAAATGAACTACTTGTGGAGTTGTTCTGTTCCCTCTTTTGGGAGAAAAGATGGATATATTTAATCTAGTCCTTCTTAACACACTGGATTGCAGCCTTGGCATTGTCATGGACCCATCCAGATGAAACTCTGTTTCTTTGAAAGCCAGGGTACCCTGAAAGATGAGCTCTCACACGCTGTGGGTCTCACCAGTGCCCACCTTTGGTGGATTCTGTGATTGTGTGCTTGGCTTCTGCCTGGCAATTTGTGCTTTCCCTTTGCAATCTTGTGTGTGACTCTCCCAGGAGCCCCACGTTGCTCTAAGACAACCTGAACCTCCTGCCTTGTCAGGCTTAAGCACTTACTTAAGTGATTGCCCATAATTAGGAACCATTTGATGGAGAAATAATTGACTGTGGCACATGAGTGCTGATGTACCCAGGTTTAGGAAGCATCCTTTTCATGCTGGCTGAGTTCAGAGCCATGGGGAATGGAGCCATAGAGAACAGCACTGAGGAACAAATCCTGTCCTACAGCCCATGTGCACAAAAAGTTTTGATGCCCAATTGTTAACTGCTGAAAGGATGCACTGATTCCTCTGGCAAGGCCTTCCTTAAGCATCTGACACTGCACTCTGGCAGGGAGAAGAGCTTTGAGGTGGCTGTGCTTGACCCACTCTGCTTCAAGACAGCTTTAGTTGTAGTAATAGTCTTCTGTCTCTCAAGTGGAAGTTTTTTTATTTTGAGCTGCCTGTTCTTTGGAAGTTATCTTGAGCTTCAAAGAGCTGAGTCGAATAACTTTTCTTTGCCTTGCTTTGCCAGAGGAAAACCTGGGCTGCCTGATTCCTGATGTGCTGCTTGTTGTACTTCAGAGCCCTATTCACAATAGTGTGGGGTTAAAGAGTAAAATGCTACAGGTGGCAGGATATCTGCAAACTGGTAAGAGAAACTGGAGCCTGATTGCACTTAAGAATCTCCAGGCATATTGGCAGAAGCCCAAATGTGCCCAAGAGGCCAGGATAGGAAAGCTGGGACCATTGTTCTTCCTTGGCTAACATGGCATTCATTGAGGCACAAGCTATTCCTGAGGGACCAGACTCCCACTCCCCTCTCCAGCTGCTAGTTTTCCCTCAGAAACCTGTTTTTCTCTCCTGTATAGAAATAACTGTGATGTACTTTAGCACATGTCTTGTTTGTGATGGCCCCCATCCAAAACCTACTGATATCAGAGGAATGTTTTGCAGGGACTCAGAGGGATTTTAGATCAGATCCAAACCTTTGCAGCTAGTTTTGTATTGCTTTCCTGCCAGGACTGACTGACCAGCCACCAAACTCCTGAGAAAATCAGCATGAAGTGTCAGTCAGGGTTCAGTTCAAGTGACAGCTAAATTTGCCTCTCTGGAGATGAATGAGAGCTGGTGGGCCTGAAATGCAAACCACCTCAAACAAAGCCAGCCAGTGTCCACACCAGCAAGCTTTTAAATCATATGGTAGCCTTCAACCATTAACACTTCAAACACCGTCTGGCCCTTTGAAAAGGCAGTTCATTTATTAATGTTCCTGTTAAAAGTCCCTTCCTCACTCTGTTCACAGGATTGCCTCCTGGATTGTCAGACCCTGGCTTCTCGATCCCACTCAAGCAAGGATGAAAACCAGCTCTGAAATGCTTTAGGAGGGATGCAGGATCCAGAGGTGGGATGCCAAGGTCTGGAGTCTCGCACCTCTCCTCCAGCTTTGGGTGAGTCATGGCTCCTTCCTCTCTCTGTCAGGGCTGGGAGGCTGCTCAGGCAGACGTGGCTGCAGATCCAACTGGCACCATGTGGTTCTGGGGATGGCAGGGAGTTTCTAAATTCACTGCAGATCCTACTCACTGGAGTGTGCCTGAGAGCCAGCAAAGGTCTTGGATCTACCACGCTCTGGGTTGTCACTCTGTCTGACAAGAAACATTCTGGGCTGTGAGTTGGAGCTTCAGAGCTGCCCTGAGGTCTTTTCAAAAGTTTGTCTCTGGGTTCTCTGATAACAAGGCTGTGCAGGACCTGTCTTCAACTCAGGTGCCCCACACAGAAGCTGACCTGCACACTCCCCTTGCTGGGTTTGGACTTCTCTGCTTTCTTGATTTTAAAATGCTCTTTAGAGGAAAAAAACCCAACTATGTTGTCTTTTCTCCTGTTCCATGGACACAGTGCAAGCAGAGCAAGCGTGAATTGCACCACACTCGCTGCTCACCAGCTGGCCAGAGGAGAACAGTGCTTGCCTCTGTCTGGGCTGTGGGGCTGGAAAGGTGAGGCTAGCAGCAGGAGGCAAGACAAATACAAGCCTGTTTTTGATTTGCCATCTGACCCCTGCCAGCTCAGAGCACCCTGTCTGCAATCGTGACCTAAATTAAGCCCAAATGCCATGAGCGAGGCTGTTGCTTTCCCTCACAATGCAAGTGTTTCCAGGTACCTAGCCAGAGATTTATAATCCAGCACTAATTACATTCTTGTTTGTGTCCGCTGTCATGCTGGTTTGGGCTTTCTGTGGTTTGTTAAATCCAGGAGCGTGCCTGGCCCTTTGTGCTGCCAGCCTGTGTGTGGAGACAGCGAGGGGCATCCATGGCTGACAGCTTAGCAAGCTGCTGGGGCAAACCTGCTGGGCTGGGCTGGCTGTCTTTGGTAGCCCAAATATCAAGGGAGACATTTTGGCTTGTTAAATTCTTGACTGCACAGGTCTGCTGTCTACGGTAGGTTCACTTGAAGGAAATAGCTCTGGCAGCAGCCCAACAGCAGGAACACTGCTTTTCTCTTAAATGTGGAAGGAGACAGAGGCTTGGTGTTCTTACCCAGCCAGCTCTTGCCTCGTTGATGGCAGATGATCAGCACCTTTAGCTCAACTTAGGTGCAGTGGTTTTGCTATGAAGCTGAAGATCAGATCCTTGTAAACAAAATCTGCAATTGATTACCAGTAATTAGCACAGCTTCTTCTGTCAGGGTACTGGAAGGAGCAGGATGGAATAACAAGCCTTGTGATGTCACATGGTTCTGTAGTGTTGGCTCTCACGGGCTGTGCAGTGCTGGGACTGCACTGGGCAAACCCTTTGTGAGAAGCCAGTGTCCCACAGGGCAGACAAGCTTTTCTTCTGCATTGCAAAACCTGTCCCCAGAAACACAGGAACGGTTTCTGAAGAAACACAGCTGGGTATTGTACAAAACCACTGGCTTCTCTGAGGAGCCAAACTGAGTTTTCACTTGTAGGTTCTGTGCTGGTTCCCTTCTGTCTCTCTGTGCCAGGTGACACCACCACAGCAAGACTTAGACTTCCCAAATTGCTATGGAGGAGAACCCTAGTGCATATTACTGGAAAAGCAGTTCCAAATGTAATATATGCTCTCTTCTACCCTTTGCTTTCTGTGTTTTCTCCCTGTGCCAGGAGTTCTTCAAGTCTGTGCTGTGATTGTGACATTGGGGCAGACAAGTCAGGCAAATACTTCACACACACACACACGCTCCGAGCAAACCAGACATCCGGTATTTAGAAATAAACAGCGTAAAGAGATTTGGGAAAGTCACTGCTCATGCCAAGACAGTTAAGAGACATCTTGGTTCAAACAAAAGCCTCGACTCATTTCCATTTAATTTTTTTCTTCACTTTGTTTAACTGTTGAGTTAGTTTCTTCAGACCAAAATGGATCGTTTCTGTTTCCAGTTGATCAGAATGAGGTAATCTGTCTTCCACTTACATTGTGAGGTGCTGATTTTCGCCTAAATATTTTATCTGTCAATGGACAATCATTTTACTGATGGATTTGTTAAAGGTTCTACCCATCCCTGGTTATTTACAGAGGTTTAAGGTAGAACTATTCATCTTAAATTCTTTTCCATTGCTTAAGAAGAAACTCCCTCCTTCACTACTCAGGGCCTGGGTTAGCAGGGATTGGAGGGAGAGAGTGGCCATTCAAGAGAGCTGTCAGACTCCACTGCTGTCTCCTGTCTGCATCATAGAGTGTCACTCAGAGGGCTAAAATCTACAGGCACCATTGTATATAGACCAGACACTATTGGTCTGCAGTCCTGGAAATTTGGACCCAATCCAGTCTGGGTTTTGCTGGTTTTCTTAAGGGTCAGCAGTCATTAAAGGCGATGAGAATCTTGGAGTGAGACCCAGCTAGCAATCACTAAACACAGGTGTACATAACTGGTGAAATTATTTCTTTGTAGCAGTAAAGGAAAGTATGGCTGTATAGTGCATGTGTCCTGAAATGTGTGCTCAGTTGTGGGATTGTGGTTTGTCTTTGGTCGTGCTGTATATTTTTGAAGTGGAATTGAGGCCAATGGTATATACTTTGTCTCGTGTGTATTCAGATTTATGTGGAATGGATTTGAGAAAATATGACAGATGGGAAATAGATGGATGTTTTTTTCCATGCAGGTTGGCAGCTCTTTTTACCTGCTAGCAGCTTAAATAATGGAAGCTGGGTGATGACCACACATTAACACTTTCTGCTGCTCTGAGTGCTTTTCAAGAAGGGAGCAATTACTTCAAAATCTGCTCTCCTTATAGTCAGGCCAGTATTGAGAATTTAACTCCTGTTTCAGATTAGATTCAGTTACCCATTTTTACCTGGCAGATCACTTGCAAAGATGCTCATTGCTAATCAAGACCTAATTTCTGACAGATCTGTGCATATTAGATCTCCTCCTCTGTTTATAAATAGAATTGGGGTTTGTTCGTGAGCGGAGTCTAGGAAGTTCAGGTTCTGACTGTGTTCGTTGTTCGTCAGGGAGAAATTTGGCAATGGTTGCTGTGTGTTACTGGCATAGCTGAACATCAGGAAATAGAATCACTCTTGCAGCCCTTGAGGATGTGCTGGCCTCTGGGAATGAGGAGAGCCTCCCTTGCCCCGAGAGAGACAGGGCTGGGGCTGAGTGAAGAGAGAGTCCTCTCCATCCAGAGTGCCCAGAGGGCATTGGAAGTTTTGTGAGGATTCAGCTTACTGAGTTGCAGAGAAATTCAGAATTGTAAAATTTCCCTGTTGAGATCTCCTGCTTTCTTAATCTTCCTTCCAGGCCTCTGTGATGCAGATGGGATTCTGTTCATTGGGCACTTGGTACACCATGAAACATCTCCAAAAAACCAGCAGTGTAGGAGAGAAACACAAAGTAGAGGATCTGTGGATCCAGGATTGGTCCTTTTGTTGCATGCAAGGTGATGCAGTATTGAAAGAGGTGATGCTGACAAAGATGTCTCTTGTTCCCTGCGTACTTTGAGTTAAATTCTGCCAAGGACGACTTTTCATCCTGCAAGCTTGGTCTCTTCTGTGGGGCTGTTGGCAGTTATTAAAACACAAAGCCCTTCTTGCCTACAAATCCATGTGCTTGATCTTTCCAGCCCAAATCCTACAAGTAACATGCACTTGTCCCCAGGGCAACTTGCTCAAATAACCACAGCTCTGCCGGAAAAAGGGCCATATGAGCCTTAGGGAATTGGGAGGAGAGATTGAATTATTCCCAGCATCCAAAGACCAAGAGGTTCCTTCTTCTTCAGCAAATGTTTTCAGTTCCCACTTGGTGAATTATTGCTTGGGATTTTTTTTTTTCCCTTCAGTGTTTCCATGAATGTGGTTGAGGCTCTGATCCAGGAAATGGGGGGGAAAAAAACCTCTGAAAAATGTATCGCACCATTTCAAAACTCAAGTGGAATTAATTAAATCCAAATTTCAACAGTGTGTCCAAAGTTGAGTTAGGCTCAAGATACACTTCAGAAGGTTTGATTTCAAAACAATCCCTTTGAGCACATGCACATAATTTAGGGAGGTTTCTGTGTATCCAGTGCAAGGCAGCAACAGGGAGCTGCTGGGTACCTGAGCTCGGAGAGAAAAGGTAATATTTGCAGGCCATCCAGAAAAAAATCTTTTTCTGCCTGATTCAGTTCACCCTAATCCACTGCTCAGCAAGCTGCATGCTGGAAAAAGAGTCAGGAAATAATGTTGTGGAAAGGAGAGCCAAACCATTTGAAATGGAGATGCTGTGGCTGGTACACTCACAGTTCTGCAGTTCTGCTTGCTGGAGAAGTAAAAAGAAGTAAAAATAGCTAAGGAACAGTAGAGAGAAAATGTCCAGGACATCAGGCTTGGGCTGAAGCAAAAGACTTAGGTAATGAAAACTTTTCTGAACAGTGGGGGATGTAGGACTTTTCCCAGCTCCACCCCTGAAAGGGAGGTTGCCTTGGAGGGTCCAAGTGCTTACATCTTTTTTATCTATTAAATTAAGATAATGTAACTTACTGCCCCAGAGAAAACATGATGGTTTCAAAAAAAACAGTTCTAGTAGGCTGGAGCTTTCTCTGATGTTTTTTCAAAGCCCACATGCCAAATCCTTTCCTCATTTTCATGCATGTGTCCCAGCTAGCTGTAAGAGAGTTACACATGGGTCAGTGAGGAGGAGAACAGGCTCTTTAAAATAGTATTTAACAAATTCTTTCTGTCACGCCTGTTCCCTGTTTTTTCACTCATTGTGGAGGAAACCAGCATGTCTCATTTACTCTTGACTTGTGGTGGTGACCTGGGAGAAAGTTGATGGGGAGGACCCCTGCATGAAAGATCAATTGTGCCTATTTAGTCTCTGCAAATGGGGAGATTTTTAGAGCCTGAAAATGGGGAGGGTTCTACCTCATTTCTGCCAAGCAGCAGCACATGTTGTCAATATTTTTCCTGTGGGTCTTCTGCCTGGGCAAGGATGATGTGTGTAAATGTTCTGAGGTGGCTGTATTTCTGTGTAAATATATATATTTACACATATATGTGTGTGACTGTAAATTTCAGAGGAATTTCAGGCGCACTGTGAGTTGATGAACTCTGTGGCAGGTGAGAGCAGAAGCATTTCTGTCAGTCAGTTTGGGAGAAGGGACGCAGCAGATCTCTGCTGCACAGTGAGTTTTACAGCCTTTAAGTTCATCACTTTAAGAACAGTTATCTGTAAGTCAGCACTACCTGTTGCTGCATAGCAGCAGGTGTGCCTTGAAATACTGGGGAGTATTTTGGATGGGGATTACATTGCCTTAGCAGGCTGAGAATGCCAGAGTCATGCTTGAACCCTTGAATTAAAGCAGTTGAATTCAGGGCTCTGACAGGTCTGGGAATTTATCTTGTTGGACTCCATAGCAGCTAGACCTGCCAGTACAACAGGGATATTGAAGGATCAGATGAGTCCATTTGTTTCAAAGACCTCCCAGCCAGATGTTACCCCTGCTGTATTGCATATGGCTTTCTTCAGGCACAGAGTTAACACTGAAACCTGAGCCAGCTGATAACAAGGGCAGCAAATGCCAGCTGGCTCTGTGTGCCATTGCCCATCCACCTTTTCCTGGCAGCTCCAACACTGGCAATGCATTAATAGTGTGGTTCAGTAGAAGCTCAGGAGTTCCACCATCACAAAGGCCACACAAACACTTCTCCCTTTGAAATGGCTACTGACAGCCTGTTTGATGCTCCAAGTCTTTTGTGGGTAAATGGCATATCAGAAATTCATTTCCTCCTGCTTCCTTCTGCATTGCATCAGCAGTGTTGGAAGTCATGTTGCCTGATACCTCATGGCAGCAGCATGACCTGAAACAACACAATGAAATTACCTAGACATTCCTTTTCCAAGCTGAAGAAATCTTTTTTTTTCTTTGCCACAACCTGCTGGGTCTCCTACTTTCTATTTTGCTGAGGCCTCTTCTCTTAGTTGGTTCATGTCCTCCATCCCTTTGTCCTTGTATCCTCCAGCTTGTTTCCTTGCAGGTTTTTCATGTCTTTCAGAGGTAAAAAGGAAAGGGAGGAAATTATATAAGTACAAAAATACAATAGTTTCATATTCCTGTTTGACTGCTCCTGGGATGCTTTCACATGTGGCAAACATACCCAGACAATTAATCTTGTGCACCCACAGGGTGTAACTGTAAAACAGTGCATGACAGATAAAGATGTATCTTCCTTCCCTATTGTGCTGTGTTTGGGGGATTTTTTGGAACCTCTGCTTTTGCTGTGTCAAGGCCAGTTACCCCATCTGGACCCCCAGGCCATGTTCTAGTTGATGTGATAAAAGCAGATCCTCTATGTCTTTTTAAAATTACATATTAGGGCATACATTCATTTTTCCCTTCTGGGAAGGGAATTCCAAAAACTTTTTTTTTTTTGGAATGGAGAAGTAGCATAAAAAACCAGAAGAAACTCATGGCTGTGGAAGAAGGTGGGAGAGAAATGGCTCACAGCTCACATGTTCTGGCAGGGCCTAAGCTGAAGTGTCACAGGTGGTGTGAGCAAGCAGGTAACAAACAGCCCACCTGAGAGTGCTCTCCAGAGCAACTGTGCTCTGTTCAACAAAATGCTGAACCATTTAGGTGGTTATACTGTTCAATAGGTCCTGCTTTCCCTGAGTGTCCTTGTGCCAGGGTGGAGCACTCTGGGAAACTCATATAATGAGCACATGCTGCTGCTTCAAGTGCTGGAGGCAGGAAGCCTCTAAGTACAGGAGCAGTGACTGCTCGTTCGTGTGTCTCTTCTGTCTGAGCTGATGAGTTCACAGTGCTGCTCCCCTGCAGTTCTGGAATCTTGTTATGCTGTCATCTCTGCCATTCTTTGTACATCTCAAAGTTTTCTGCATTTTTCCCAGTACATCCTCAATTTCTCTGCATTATAAGCACTTATTCTATCTATTTATGTGGATGGGGTTTGGTTTCTATGCAGAAGGTCCTGTGGACATCAATCCTTTGGGGACTTCAAGCAGACATACTGGATGGTCACTCCAATTTGAAACTGACTTTGGGATAAGTTCCTTGTACTGATTATAGACCTATGTCTCACAGAGAACGAGAGCAGTGCAGGAGCTGTGGGCAAAGGGAAGGAGCAACAATGGATTGGGGTTTGTTTAACATGTCTGTCCATGTTGGATAAGCTCATGCCCAGTGCAGTCCATCCCCCAGCATCGGATTCTGTCTCACACACTCATCCAGGGTTTTCCAGACCCACCTCTCTGGGAAACAGCCAGCCTGAGAGAAAAGAGCTCAGCAGGCAGCAAGGATCCAGGCAACAGGCACTGCTGCTTATGCAATAGGCAAACATTGTAGTAAATAACATGTGTAGCTTTGTTATTAAGCTTGATCTTGTTAGGGGGGCAATAAATGTTCTCTGTGATCATTTTTCTTGTAGAATATCAACACAGGATAAAACTGTGGCTCTGGCTTTGCTCTTCCTGCTCATTAGAGCTCCGTGCTGCTTCATGCCATGGCCCCAATCTGTTGCTGTTTGCCTTGACAGCTGCATGTCCCCAATTTCCTTCAGACTCATTTTGCACATGATAATGCTGGCAGTTCTTGGGTTTTTCATGTCCCTTCCCCCCTGCCCCTTCTCACTTTTATAAAACCAACTTAGCAGCAAATTGTGCTTAATTTAAAAGGGATGGTTTGGGCAAGATACCTGTTTGCTGGAAACCAAAATCAGGGACATCTGGCATTCATTGACTTTTAAAAGCAAAGAGATGACACAACTAAAATGCAGATAGAGAGGATTTTCAGCTACTTTGGGGGGGATGTTGTTTTAGTACAGTGAACTCAGATTTGTTCTACTTGCTCCTAGCTCTTGCTCTGGGTATAGTCTGGACTGAACCACTTGTTTAATTATATACCACTGAAAAACTATCTTTGCTTCATAAAATGTTTGGGTTCTTTTTTCTGTCTATGTTCATCTGCACAGGATGGCTGCTCTAAGGCCTGAAGACACTTCTAGAGCCATCCCCTGAGTCACCAAACTCCACCTTTCCACCAGAAAAAGCTTTTGCATCATCTCCAGAGCCAGGTACCTACACTGTGCCTGGGGGAACTTGAGCTGGAGACGCTCCAGCCTCACTTCCAATTTCTAGGCTGATTTACAACAGAAAGACCAGAGAATCACTTGGTTTGATTCACTGGGCATGCAGGTGGGAGTGAGAGATGCTTCCCAGAGCTGGCCAGGCCCTGTGATGCAGAGGAGCTGAGTTGTGCCCTGCTATCCTGGAGCTGGGAGGCAGCTGAAGCAATCCCATCTAATCAGTAGCTATAAAACAAAAACCAGCCCATTCTGACACTATAAAACAGTAGAGCTTTATTTGAACTTGAAGAGAATGAGTCTTTGGCATTATGTGGGGAGAGGAGACTGTGCTTCTTGCTGCCAGTAGTGCATACTTTCTGATTCAAGAAGGAGCAGCAAGGCAGATCCCATAGACAGCATCAGGCATGAACCCAAAAAAATCCTGGCTTTGCCCATGGAGAGAGTGAGAAGTTGGATCCTCTAGAACAGAGGGTACTTTATGAGGAGTCAGAAACTGGGCCACACACAAACTGGGTATGTGAGGGTAGCAGGGCACTGCTCTGTTTTTGCTGAGAGATCCCCAGGCAGGTCAGCCTGGGCCATTCAGCCTCTATCCCAGCAAGCAGCAAATCACTCTGCACCAACTCCCTCCTCTGTGCATGACAGGTTTTGTGTCAGCTGCCTCAGACTCCCCACATCTCCCCACTGCTGCCAGTGCTGGAGTCTGGATTTGTATGAAAGCAGAATTTTACGAAGGGCAGAAGTATAACTCTCCCCACATTTCACTCACTTCCCTATTTGTCATTTCTGGCTGAATCCTTCACTCCTGCTGGATCCTCCCCTGGGAAGTGATTGGAAGAGCCTCAGTAGTTTAATCCAAATTGCCCTCCGGTTCCCTGGTGATGCAATTAATTGAAAGCAGGATTTTTACATCTCTGTTCTGCTTAAAAGTATCCCCTGGCCATCAGGCTCTCCTGCTATGAGAGCTAAGAGTCACTGTGCTGGCAGCCACATCCAGCATGAGCCTGGATTTCTAAGGGGATAATCCAGGAAGACATCAGGTCCCCCTGTGTGGAAGTCCCAGCTATAATCAGCCTCTCTCACAGTTGTGGGCTATTGCAGCTCAGCATCAGGAGTAGTTTCTTCCAGCACTGAAGCTTGCAATATCAAACTTAAACCTTTTTTCCCCATAGTAATCTGCAGTGGGAGATGCCTCCAGTGCCTCCCCATGATGGATTTTCTTTTGAGAATTTCTATGAACCTGCTTCCCTTGCCACAGAATTAATCACACTTAGAGACAGAAAACACTAATGCCTCAGAGAATGTGCTGAAATGCTGTAAATTCCATGTGAAAATATAATGTCTGATATAGGCAAACTCTAAGGAGATGTAACTTGAATGAGCAAAATTGAGAGCTGGGTGAAGTAGGCAGAGTCTGGGATGAGAGAGAGAGAGGCTGTGGCACAGTGTGCCTCAGTTTGCCTGTTTGACAAATGAGGAAGAGGAGAACAGAGACTGGAGAGCTTAGGGCTCTGCTTCCTATTCATACAGAATTAGCTGTGAGCAGGATAGGGAGAGGTTTAAGAATTTGGCCATAAGTTCTGACCAACAGTTCCTCCTGCCCACACGACCCTCAGTGCTGAGAGCAGACTGGGGCAGAATTTGCAGGTGGACTCTGAGCCAAGGCAGAGTCCCAGTTTGGCTGCTCTTCCTTACAAAAGGGAAGGCATGTTTTGGTTTTCCTGGGCTGTCTGCAGAGCCTCTCTCTCAAGTCTGGGACAGGTGCCAGCCACTTCCAATGCCTTTTCCCACTGAGTTTAATAACTCTACTTCCTTCATCCTGTCTTGACCTCTCAAAATAGCATCCTCAGGTACGACATGACACACTCTATTGCCTTGCTGTCTGCTGCAGACAGTGTCCTCTTTCTTTTTGCTTATCCCTGCTTCAGTCTATACACAGTCCTTGGGATTGGCATCCTTTGTCATGTTACAGATGCCAGAGGGACCTGGGTATAAGAGGAGGCAACTTTTGCTGAGAGCACTGGAGTGTGCTGTAGAGTGCTAATTCCCACAGCACTAGGACACATTTTGGACTCTCTTAATTTAATTTAGCTACCACACTTGCTTTGGCGTTGGAGCACAGCACACCCCACAACACCTGGGTTTTACCTGAGGTGGGAGACCCCATCCTTTTAGGCCCCCAAGGTGGGTTTGTGCAGACTATGAAGCAGTGATCACAAACCTTCCTTCTCTGTTTAACTGCTGACTCTTAGCAAAGCCAGAACTCCTGAGCATGAGTTCATTAGCCCATTGGAACGGTGCTTCCTTGGCTCCCGACTTCCCTCCAAGGCTCTGGCAGCCAGACACCACCTCTGCTGCCAAGCTAAACCTTGCCATGCTGTGTGATGGGACAGGCTGCTGGGCACACAGCCAGGAATGGGCCTGTTCTCACTCAGCTATTGAGCATCCCTGCAGACACGCTGCTTATGCCAACCTCCATCCTACACACTTCCATACAGGCTCACGTTTCTTTTCAAGCTGCCTTGTCCTTTCATCCACACCTTATGAGGAGAGGCAAACCCATGTTTGCCCCATCCTTCCCTACCAAAAGCTGTGTCTGGACTGCTGATGCCCCATAGAGGAAGTTAAATGACCCCTTGAAGAGACTGACTGCCATGTGAACAAGCTGGCCCAGCCACTGCAGAGCTCATTTGGCTGGTTTGGCCTCTTGCAGGCTCTCTAAAAGACATCTCTCCCCCCCTGCTTTGTGCTCCTGCCAAGTGAGCTGTGCTGTGCTGCGTCCCTGATCTTTTCTGACATTAATTACCCTTTCCTGGCTCAGACTGCCCTGTTTGTGGCCAGGAAACCAAACTCACTTGCGCCTGGAAGCAAAGCAGGAGGGAAGAGAGAGTGTCTGCTTCCTTGGATGGCCAACTGGAATAAGCAGGTGTCTCTGAGCCCTTCCTACACCAGGGAGAGCTGATAGAAGGCTTTGCCCATTGCAGCCCAGGCTGGATCCAGCCAACTGCTGAGCACTTGCTCTGCCTGCTGGAGTCTCTGGGAGTGAGGGGAATGGGCCAGCTCTGAACATGTGCCCAGCATCTTCAGAAATGCACCACAGACCAGCACAAGTGCAGTGAGAAACAGCAGGAGGAGTAAACCCTGGAGGCCACCCATCTCCTTCTTTCTTTTTTCTCTCTTCTAAAAGGTGACTTTTAGACCACTAATTTAAAACTTGTTTTCCTCCACTTCACCCAGGTGCCCATGGCTTCCTCCCTGTTAGCTCTGAGCAGCCCCACTACAGTAAGTGATACCAGTGGGGAGGCACAGGCTCCCAGCCCCTTGTGTTGTACAGCCTGTGGCAGTGTGACAACCCAAGGATGGATGCTTCTCTAAAAACACCACTGAAGACTTTCCTGGCACCAGCCACATGCTCAGTGCCACGCTTTTTCCCAGGGTGACGGGGTTCCTGTGCAGGCCAGAGCTTTGCTGGCAGAATTGAATGTTCTGAGCTTCTGGTAAGGGAGTGCAGTTCTGCTGCTGGGCTTTTGGAGACTGCCACCAGCCTAAATCAGGAGCAAGAGGCTAAGTCAGGGAAAGGTAAACATGGACACTGTGTTGTTCTTGACACTTTTACAGCACTCTGAAGTTCCCATCACACACCCAAATGAAACAGCAGCACTTGGAGAGTTTAACTGGC